CACATTTGAAGAAGAAGCCTCACAGCCTGCTACCATTAACCAAAATTTATCCTCTCGTTTCTCTCCTTCAAACCAAACACACGAGCAAGTCAGCGAAAGAGAAGAGAGCAAGAGAATGAGAAAGCAAAAGAGGAAGAGAAGTTGCGAAGAAGACGAAGAGAGAAGAAGTGGCTTACCTTCGTGCATCATTGACCAGCCGCGAACGAAGAATAAGAAGAAAAAGGAGAAGGCCGCAATCGTTCGAGCAGGTTTTCGCAATCGTGAGGGACTCAATCGATCGACCCGCGCATTTACTCGTTCAAAGGAGGCTCGTGCAGCTAGCAGGGAATGGACCTAACATATGTAAGTTTCCGTTGAGGGGATCCTACACCCTAATCGAACAAAAGAAGAGAAGAGGAGCAGTGCGTGCAAATTTTCTCTTGCCATACAAAGCTTTCTACGCCTAAGAGGTGCTCAATTGAGTGTTTTTGAGCTCCCAAACGACTTGCAAGTACCTCCTTGTGTGAAGGTAGTGCTCGACCGAGCACTTGTGGGTGTAACCGAATCTTCCTCATGCATTGTTGGTAACTCCCAAATAGGAAAAGAGAGAAATGGAGCAATTTCCTTGCGTACGACTTTCGTCGCACCCGCGAGATGCTAGACTGAGCTTGAACACGACAATAAAGAAAAGCAAAGAAGGGTTTTTGGTTTAGATAAGAAATCTGAAAAATCAAATTTATGAAATTTTAATTATTTATAAGTCAATATTTACAACAACAACAAAACCTTAATCCCACTACATGGGGTCAGCTACATGAATCCTTTTTTCTCCAATGTGTCCTATTTAGTGTCATATTTTCATTTAGTTATAATAAATTAAGATCATTTTTAATACAATAAGCTCAAGTCTTCCTAGGTCTACCTCTGTCTTTCCTAACATAAGTTGAATCTTAAAAATCTACTATCCTAATCGAATCATCAGATGATCGACAATTAATGTGACCAAACCATCTAAGACGTCTCTCTAATTTTGTCCGTCATTGGAGCTACACCAACCCTATCACGGATATTTTCATTTCGCATTTTGTCTCCAAGTGTAAAGCCACTCATCCACCTAATCATTCTCATCTCGGCAACACTTAAATTAGTATCATGCTTCTCTTTTAAAGGCCAACATTCAACGCCATAGAGCATTGCAGGTCTCACCACCGTCTTATAAATTTTTTCTTTCAATCTAAGCGGTACTTTTCTATAACACAAAAGGTCAGAAGCATTCCTCCACTTCAACCAACCAACTTAATTACCCTCTCTCATAATTTTAAAGTATGATACACCAACTTATATCCTCTATAATGTGCACACTCTTGTGCATCCTCTTTATTCTTAAAAATATGGACCAAATTACTACTCCACTACTCAGACATCTTTTTAATTTTTAAAATAATATTAAAGAGTTTAGTAAGCCAAGAGAGCCCCAAATCTCCTAAATATTTCCACACTTCAATTGAGATATCATCAGGTCCTACAGACTTTCCACTCTTGGTTATCTTTAAAGACTCATCAACTTCTTTTTACCAATGCAACGATAAAAATGAAATATTTTATTATTATTAATAATATTAAGATCACTAATATCAATAGTATTTTCAGAAACTTCATTAATAAGTTTATCAAAATAACTCATCCACCTATGTTAAAAAAATAATTTTTTTTTATTTTCATCTTTAATACACTTTACTTGAGATAAATCTTTACTTTTCTTTTCTCTTTTTTTTTACGAGTTTATACATGCATTTTTCACCCTCCTTAATATCTAATCTATTATAAAGATCACTAAGTATAATTTTTAGCATCACAAATTGTTCTTTTAAACTCCATGCGGGTCATTTGATATTTTTACCAGTTTTCTAAACTTTTACATTTAAACCAATTTTTATAACATAACTTCTTATATTTTATCTTTTCTTGCACATTATTATTCTACCACCAACTATTTTTATTTATAGAAACTTTTTTCTTTTGATTCTCCAAGTATATCTTTTGCTACTTGTTTAATAATGTTTGTTACTTTATCCTACATTGCATTTGTTTCTTTATGAACATCCCAAACTTTGAAATCTTAAATTTTACTCATAAAATTAATTTTATTTCTCTTTTAAATTCCCTCATTTAATTATACGATGATGAGTCCTAGAATTCTTTATTTTACAAGTTTTCATCTTAAAAGCTAGAACTAATAATCGAGGTTGGGTACTTAAACCCTCACTTGAAATGACCTTACAATCTTTACAATCTCGCTGATCTCTTCTTTTCATAAGAAAATAATCAAATAACAAAATTATATGCTAAAACAAAATCTAAAATTACTCTACCTTCTTCATTATTAACTCCAAAACCTTAGCCCATAAGAATATTTCTGAGATCTTCTACCACTCTACCGACATGTCCACTTAAATCTCATCCAATTAAAATTATTTCTTCAAGAGGTATCATTTGTATTAAGCCTTCTAAGTTATTCTAGAATTTAACCTTAGACCCTATATCTAAACCTACTTGAGAAGCAGAAGCACCTATAATATTAAAAATCTTGGTATCAATGATAATCTTAAGGGCTAAAATTCTATCTCCAACTCTATTAATTTTTACAGTATTATCTTTCAAACTATTATCTATAATTACACTTACACCATTTTTTAGTGTGACTCTTACCAGAATACCAAAGTATAAAACCTAAGTTATCAGTCTCTTTAGTCTTTTCTCCAACTCATTTAATTTCTTGAAAAGATAAGATATTAATCTTTCTATGAATCATAAGAACAACTAATTTCATTTTACCATTGAGAGTACTTATATTCCAAGATCTTATCTTAATATTAGTTTCATGGACAAAATTCTTTACTCGCATCTGTCCGTAATGTGAGAACTCTTGCTTATTTGACACTACACCCAGACGCCGGTGTAACAACCCTCGCACACTTGCACAGCATTCTAGTCATACAACACGTCGCTTACAGGAGACGCCCTAGTACTTACACAATAATCAAAAGGATTCAAGATTTCATAAAACCATTAACATTAAAAATTTTTAAATTTTGCTAAAGAAAAATAGGGTATTTGCCAAGAAACCTAAGGTGAAAGAAGGAAGACATAAATTTTTGATATGAAGTCCAATTTTAATACCTATTTATTAGTTTCCTAATTAATTAATGTAATATCAAATTAAAAAAAAAGTAATTATGTTGCTCCTAATACAAGCATGCCAAAAGATGTTTGGGAAAGTCATTTAATAAAAAATTTTAAAGTTAATTGATTTAAATGTGTTATATTCTTAACCACAACAATATATGTTTTCATATAAAGTACTAAATAGCAAAGCAATTATAATAATAAAATAAAAGAAAAATTAGAATTAAGATAAAAGAAAGAGAAAACAATAATAGAGGCTAATCAAAGTCTAATGTGTTATTATAGATATACCTAATTATTAATTTGACAAGCGAAAGAATATCCGATCAGACTGTACAGGTGAGTAACCATATTTTTATTTTATAATAATTTTGTTTATTTATGAAAGCAATTGCAACTGTTTCAACTGGTTTTAGTACTTCTTTTAAAATGCATAATTTTATTTTTTTAATGTCAAATAAAAGAACGAATTAAATAAGATATATGTATACATATGTGAAATCACCCCAAGAAACAACTAGCAGAAGATGCATTGTACTCATGCACGTAAAATAAAAATTCAAATGCAAGTGGTTGCCGACTTTTTTAGTTGGTTTTGGATAATATTAAAGGTAAACATTTAGTATACATTTAGACAAACACTTTCACTGATGGATATTGTAATTAAAATGAATAAAAGTTAACAAAAATTGATTTTTTATTGTTTTTCTTACTGCAATTTGTTATTAAAATGCAAACCTTTCAGATGATTTGAGTTAACAGAGATTCTGATTCCTTCCAACATATTTCAAAACAACAGGTGCAACACACTCTAACAACAATACTGACGGTTGTTTGCCATTCAGCAAAAGATTACAAATTTTGGCAACAAGTCAAGTAGAACATGGAAAAAATCATCTATAAATGCAGCTCAAAAAGTTCATTCAAAGGTGCGGATAATCATCTGCAAATACAGCTTCTAATAACCTAGTTAATTTTCTGTATATAACTCCAAATCATTTTCCATTATGTCTTGAAGCAGTTCCTTAAATTTTCATAACTAGCAGGGTATTAAAGAATATTTAAAAATTATCAATAAGGTTAACATGTATAGTTACTTATTCTAAGAACTAGTTATGGTTAAACAACATAACGACACTAAAAATAGTGTTATATATTTTCAAAATATGAAACGGTACTTTACTGGATTGCTCGCGATCAATCTTAGATCATTCATTAAGTGGTTGCTCAAACTTAAATAAAAAATCATTTTAGGCATTGTATTTTGCTTCAGTTAACAAATAAAACAACCTCAGATAAAAGAAAAAAAAATTCCAAGCCTATTCATTTAGGTTGCCAGCTATAATTATAAAATTGCTTAGCTTTTAGTTTGATTTTTTTATTACTTCAATTTGTTCTTATTTCCAAAGAAAAGAGAAACATTTTTTATGTTATTTGATTTAAAATAAAAGCAATCTTTTATTTTAAAGAAGTTAAAAACAAAAACGGATCAAAACCTTAGCTAAATAACAGTCAAAAACAGTATTTAAACTATGAGAGCAAAATTTTATATTTTTAGATTTAACGAGATTCTATGTATATTTAAAGATCCTAGTAAACTAAATATTAAAATTTTATTATCATATGCATACCCTAATATCTAAATGCACTTAAATCATCTGAAAGGTTTGCATTGTTATAAACTATTGAAATATACCAACGGTTAATTTTGCATTCAATTGCACAATTTCAATTGAATAATTTATAAGACTAGTAAATGAAGCAAAAACAGGCTATAACTCAAACCCAAACAAGCTTTAACAGATAAAACAAGTTGCAAAAGAAATTATACTCACCTTCTACTAGCAAAGATAAAGCAGAACCAAGTGATGCATTGGGTCTGAGCATTGCTAATGGAGATCTATTTGCTTCCCCAATTTTTGTCACCCAAGTACCCATCGGGATGTTGCAAATTGGTTGCTGTAATATAGGCAAAGAACTTGAAGAGTGTCTAAAATGTCTACAAATACCTGAAAATTTAAAAAAAAAATTTAAAAGCTAAAACTGATTTACATTATGCATAAAATCTGGGAAAGATTGGTGCGCAATAGTATAACCATGTAAAAGATCATAAATTCACAAAATGAGAAGTGACATACATCTAAGAATTCCTGAGAGAGAAGCAAGATGTAATAATTGAGGGAATGATCCATCTGGTGACATAGAATGGATAATGGGGACTGTAGCCACCTCATTCTCGATTATCTTTATAGTTACATCCTTCAATGTGTCATATGGACCAGCCTGCATATAACACAGAAAATTTAGTGCTGCAATCTTCAAATATCATTTCAAGGTAAACTTTTATCACCACTCTTCTAAATAGATTTTAATTACTTATTTTTTACTCATTTTGATGGGCTAGGATTGATGATTTTATTTGGCCCTTCATGTCAATAAAAATGGAAAGTAATAAAACTCAAAAGACAGAATTACTTTTGCCCAGCCCAATATTTAGGGATTAAAAAAATCTAGAATTAAAATTTAGTCATCCTAAATTACGTCGTGCCCAATATTTGTGGTAGATCATCCTTAAGCTCACTCATGAGTCTTGTAGGATAGTCCCACATTGATCGTGCTAATCGTTGACATTGGAAGCCTTAGATCAAGTCTGATTCATGTGTTATTTGCTTGGTCGAGCGCAACAACCGATTCAATCAATTTTGGTCGCCACGGACAGTCGTTATGCTCGACTTCTAGTTAATTTTGAGTCACATCGTGTTTAAGGGAACATACATGACTCTTATGGTGATTCATCAATATTCATACATGGTTGCATGTGCATGAAGCCCTTTTTTTGCATTCGTCCGCAATTTTTTTTTCATTGGAGCGTCGTTTTGTGTAATAAGCTGCGTGAGCGCATTCGAATCGTCAAAACGATTTGAATGATTATACCTGTGTCTGAATCGGACATCATTTAGTGTGTGTCGCGGGATAAAATATAATTTTTTTTTTTTATTTTTGTATTTTTTATTAT